CTCAAGGTCAGTCAGCTGGTCAGAGGCGGGGTCAGAACCCGACCCAGGGCTTCAGACGCAATCTCTCATGCTCCTTCCCTCATCCCACACAGCCTCAAGCGTTCCCTGGGAAGGTGAGCGTGCCCTAAGCTGCCTGCCTCATCTTGTCCCCAAGCTAGATACTGCCGCTGCGTCTGTCTAGAACCTGGGGAAGACGAGCCCACACTGGCCGGGAAGCAGCCCAGCGGATGCCTCGGCAACCTGTTTCCTCCTAGTAGTTCCTTCTTCCCAGCCAAGGCCACCTTGAGCACCTTCCAAGGCACAGTGCCAGCAACTAGCTCACCCCCAAGTGGCTGGCACCTCCTCCGCATGGAGGAAGCCCCCAGCCTCTGAGCACTAGAGGGGGCCTCCTGGTACCTCTGGTTCCATCAGCAGGTGTCTTGAAACTGTTTCACTCCTTCACATACACGTCACGTGTTCTCCAAAAGGAAAGATCAAAATGATGCATCCCACTGAGGATTTGTGTGGAGGAAGCAGTCAGGTGACAAAGCGCTGAAGCACCAAAGAGATGAAATCACGATTTAGGGGCTGGGCCAGGGACAGCCCTGGATTTGCTGCCCTCACTGGACCCAAGGAATTTTGTCACCCACGCTGTCCCTTCCCCTCTCAGCCTCACCGCGTGCCTGGTGTGGAAGACAGAGCCTTGGCTCCGCAGCCTGCCCCTCCATCGCTGCCAGCCTGTGCCCTGGGGAGCCTCTGTGTTCTCATCTGTAAACTGGGGACAACAGCCCCATATCATTGTGTTGTGGGGATAAAATGAAAGTTCATGGAAATGTTTTCTTCAAGTGTGATGAAGGCTAAAATTAAGGCCCGAGGACCCCTTCCAAAACAAACTCTCTTCCTGGGAAGTGAAGGAAATTTGCAGTGAGGCCTTGGCATCTGTGGCCTCATTTAATCCTTCCAATGGCTCCATTCGAACCCTGGGCTTCAGAGAGGTTTCATAATTTTACCATGCCCCCTCGGGCCACAAGCCTGGAGCCAATACTCCCCCTAGGGACATCAAGCACCTTCCTTTCCAGGGCTGGGGGCTTTCTGACACTTTAAGGAACAGGGACCCAGGGAGAGAGGCCCCCAAATCTGGGTACATGCCACAGCCTTTTACGATCAGGCCAGTGTTTGGGATGCTGGTTATAGGACAGATGAGAGCCTCGGGCAGGGTGCAGGCAGGGTGCGGGGTGCTCTGCAAACCTCTAACCACCCTACCCAGGCCACGGCCTCCAAGGGCACTATGCCGTGGCTGAGCCCTGGGGCAGCAACTACAAGGCCATGCCATCTACAGTCACCAGACTTCAGGCCCTGGCAAGTCCTCCAGATCCCTGCTCTGGGCTGGCCGACTGGGCAGGGACCTCGGTGGTCAGGAAGCTTCCTGCTTCCTTTCTGGGAGCACCTGCGTCCTTACCTGCAGCAGGCTGAGGGCAGGGCGTGAAGGCTGGGGTTCTGACGGCAGAGTAGCCTCCAAGCCAAGTTCTGGGCCCCCTGAGATCATCTGCCCAGTTGGTTGACCAATGGACCCTGACCAATGTGGCTCAGTTGGTGGGGTGTGGTCCCACGAAGAGAAAGTTCACCGGTTTGAACCCCTGTCGAGGAACATGCCTCGGTTTCGGGTTCAGTCTCCAGTAGGGTGCACCCGAGAGGCGATTGATCAATGATTCTCTCTCACATCAATGCTTCTCATTCTTTCTTTATCCCTCCCTTCCCTCTCTCTAAAAATAAATAAACAAATAAAAATTTAAAAATAAATAAAATAAAACACTGCTGGGGCCTGGTCTCCTCTTCTGAAAACTTCCGGAGTCCTGTCGCCTTCAGGGTGATGTCTATGTGAGGGAGTCAGTGAGAAGCTGGGAAATTCCTTGGCGAGTGGCATGGGGAAACTGAGACAGAGGGCCAAACACACCGGCCAAGCAATTCACACCCAGCTGATAAACCACAAGGTCTTATCTTCCCTAGCCAGGGACACTCAGGAGCAATGGTGTACACACGTGCTAGCCAGCACTGGGGCAGACTCGCCTCAGCAGACAAGGACCCTGACCCCTGCATGTGCTCAATCAGCATATTAAAGGCACACCTGGAAAGCCATGAGAACCTTCCACTGTCCTCTCCTGAGACCTCCCCTAAAATCCCAGCCTTTAGAAAACAGATAAAAACCCTAAGACCAAGGATGCAATGTGACCCCTCTGCCTTGAACAGATCAGTGCCTCCCTTTCCTCCAGCACAGATCTTGGCTCTCTTCCTCTTAAGCTTTAAGGGTCCTGATAAGACTTTCAACCAGCGGAGAAGCAGGCAGCAGCAGGTCGTCCCAGGGTAACCCCTGAACCTGCCTCCAAGGGCTCTCCTTTTGCTTGACTTTTCAGAGAGCCAAAAGCAGCTCCCCTGGGCTGACTCCTGTTGCTGTGATCTTGCCTCCTCTACCTTAAGCCCTTCCTTTGTTTCCCTGTCGCCAGCTTTAGTGAATGTCCTCTCAAAATCACCCGAACTTGTGTTGTCAGATCTTTCCTGCACCATGTCAAGAACCCACACGTTCCACAGCATGCCCGGGCAGACTGGCCTTGGTCCCTGGTCACTTTCCAGGGACACACATGCCCATTCTAGCTCCCAGGAGCCATCCCAAGCCAGGCCCAGCCTTTCTCATGGCCTCACCACATACCTATCACCTTCTAAGGGCGGATCACTGCTCTCACCTCTGCCTTTGCTCCAGCCCTCTGCTCCTCCTTGAGCATCCTCCCTGCTCTTCTCAATGGGCCACATTGGTCCTGAAGCTTCAGCTCCAAGGTCACCCCTCCTGAGAAGGCCTCCTCCCCCCATCCCACTGTCCACTCTACCCACCTCCAGGCCCTTAGGGGAGCTCTATGGTGGAACAGAAAACAGGTGAGGACTTTAGAGTCACAGCAAGGGGTAAATACAGGCTTCACCATCACAGGGCCTTGGGCTCGCTACATAATTTTATAGGCTTGGGCTTGTGACCCGTAAAATAGGGCCAACGAGGATGTGGGGCCGCAGCAAGGGTGGGCGGTGCCCAGTCCTTGCTGATTCCCGTCACAGGCCCACCTGATGCCCCTCCCCCACACTATCCTGTTTTCCTTGGGGAGTGCGCAAGCTCCTCCGAAACCAGACCCCAGCCCTTGGCACCTTTGAGCATCTGCACTGTCTTTATTTCAGCACTACTGACATCAAATGGGTGGGTTTTCCCACACCAACAACCAACCCTTCAACTCTCTAGACACCACAGTTCGGTCAGTTCTGACGCTATCTATCTGCAGCTGGCATCGGACCCCATAGATTTATGGGGTCAGTCCACAAGACTGCCCACACTTCAGACACCAGTCTCAAATATGGGGTGCCCAGGGTACCCAAACTTCTGAGTTGGCTACAAAGTTGGGGGTTTCCACAACTCCTACCCACCTTCAGTTTCAATAATTTGCTAGAATGGTTTACAGAACCCAGGAAACACTTACTTTAGTGTGATCGGCTTATTATAAAGGGGACAAATGAACAGGGCACAAAGTCCTGAGCAAAGGAACTTCTGTCCCCATGGAGTTGGGCTATGCCGCCCTCTCAGCAAATGGCTGTTTACCAACACAGAAGCTCTCCGAACCCCAAATTCAGGGGTTTTATGGAGGTTCCATTATGTAAGCATGCTTAATTAACTCATTGGTCACTGGTGATTAAGCGGATCTCCAGCCCTTCTCCCTTCCCAGAGGTGGGCGTGGTGAAGAGAGTTCCAACCCTAATCCCACGAATGGTCCCTTTGGCCTGACCAACGACCAACCCCCACCTAGAAGCTATCTAGGGCCCTACCAAGAGTTACCTCATTAGCATAAACTCTGACTTCGTTGAAAGGGGCTTGTTTTGAATAACCAAAGACACTCCCATCTGCCCTATCACTCAGGAAATTTCAATGCTTTAGAAGCTCTCCTGCCAGGAATAGCGGACAGATCAAAAGTACCATATTTCTTAGTATATTGCAATATACACATGGCCCCACTGCAGGGCCTGGCACATAGTAGGTCTTTTTAATGAAGGAAGCACACTGTGTTCCAGGAGCCTCACCATGAAACAGGGATGCCACCACACCTTGCCCTGAGAGCACCCAGCACTGAGGCTGCCCAAATGGTGGGTGGGGGGAGGGGGAGGCATCCTAGGCAGGGATTTGAGAATCCGATCTGGTGTTTGCTCCCAACTCCATCTTAGCTAACCTTAAGTCCTTCTTTCTCACATCCCTAAAAGGAGTGCAGTGCTACTCGCGCCCCTCAGGACATGTGACAGTTAATGAGGCAGTGCGTGTGAAGGACACAGCCTGAGAGAGGGTTGGACACAAGTGGCCCCCAAGACCTGTAATTCAGACAGGAAGGTCTGGCAGCTACTGGGAGGGCCCGGTGGGGTGGGTTGGTCCTGAGGGCTGTGTGCCCAACTGCCGCGGTGCCTCGGTGCGACGGTGATAAGGAAAAGCTTCAGGAGGCCTGACACTATGAACAAACCTGGGGTGGCTGGGGCCAGCTCCGGGCTCTGGGGCAGGAGGGGGTCCCTGAGGTGACGCTGGGTGGGGGGAGAAAGCAGGAGGATCAAAGGAGTGGGAGACTGCACTCAGAGGGGGCCCTCTGTGGGAGTTTGGGGGCGAGCCAGAAAATTCTGGGAGCCAGAGGGGCAGGACTGAGACGTGGGGTCCACTGCAAGGTGCACTAACGGGCGTCCTTCAGCAGCCTTGAGACGCGGCTCCACCGCGCGCTCAGCGCTCACGGGGGCAGTCTACTTAGCGGCCGGCACCTCATTTCCTCCACAAGAGAAAGGGCGCGGGAGAGCAGGGAGAAGACGAAAGAAGAATTTGCAAAAGGAGAAGCCTCGGCGCCGGCATGCGCATCGGCGTCGGAGTTTGCGTCCGCGCCGGCGGCGGGGGCGGGGCCGGAAGGCGAGGCGGGGCCGAGAGGCGGGCAGGGGCCGGGAGGGGCGGGGGGGCGGGGCCGGGCCGGGAGGTGGAGCCCGGCCTGTGGCCCGGCGAAGCCCGGAGTCGCATTGGCCACGACGGCTGAGGAGGCAGCGGTAGCGGTGGCCCGGTGGCGACAGTAAGTGCAGGACGGAGGTTGGGTGCCGGCCTGGCCACCAACCAGCTCTTCAGGGTCCCGGGCGGCCCTGGGCTCCCGCTCTCGGCGTTCCCTCCCCTCCTCCCCACCCTGGGCACTTCTGGAGGCTGCTCCACGGGAGCTCAGGACGCCAGCCGGGCCCCTCTCGCTGCATACTTCCCGTCGTGTCCCCCTCCCCAGCGTCCCTCGCCTTCCTACCCACTCTCTTCCGCCTCCCCCCACTCTCTTCTCGCTTTCTCTTTCTCTAGGTCTCTATCTTCTTTCTCCGATTCTCTTTCCTCCTCCTCCCTGTGCATTTCCTGAGATTGGACCACACCGCCTGGATTTGGGAGTGGGGTGGGCTGAGTATGCACAACTCAGCCTAATGTATCCAGAAGGTAGCCGACTCTTGGTCCAAATTGGGGAGCCTGAGGCTGGGATGTCTACAGCGCCAAGGCCAGTTCTTCCATGGCCTCTGAGGGGCGCCTTGCATTTCCCAGCAGTGCGTTCCCACTGGGTAACCTAGCTTCACCAGCCCCCAAGTCCCCACATCACAGACAAGGAAAATGAGGCACAGAGGGGAGACTGATTCAGCCAGAGTAAGAAACCTCGTCGGAACCCGCACCCAGTTCCAGATAGCGGTCTGCAGTGGCCCCAGGCCCCGCAGTTTCTGCGTCTTCGTGTAGGGGCTGCCCCTTGCCCCCATCACACAGGAAGGGAGCCAGGCCCAGTGTGGCCAGCTCCTGGGGGTGCTTGAGAAACGCACCAGCCATAGCCAGCTCATCCTGGGGATGCTGGGACTCTTCTTTACCTTCCTTTTTCTTCTTCTTTTTTTAATCCAAAAGCCAGCAGCTAGCTTTTATAAAGAGTAATGAGACGTTGCTCACTCCAATGCTCTGGCCTGTGACCCAAGTTAGAGAAAATTCCTGGCTCCTTCAGAAGCTCGGTCAAGGCTGAATAGTCCTGGATAAATAGGTACCTGGAGCAGAGAATGGGCCTCCACCAAGTATGAGCCCAAATAACCCTGCTGTTGGCCTCTGCACCCACCCCTGTAGCTTCAGAACCGCTGGCTCTTTCTCTACTGTCCTACATAAGTCAGAATTTTTAAGCACTAATGTCTGGTTAGTTTGTTAGTACTGGGTTCCCTGTGAATCAAGGCTGGGAAAAGGCCCTGCTCAACCAGGGGCGTTTAAAATAGACTTGCTGACTCGAATGCGGGCAACCAGCAGCATCCTGCCTGCCTGCTCCAGGATGCATGCCCCCACCAGACGAGACAATATCCTTGGCCACACAGAGTACATCCATTCAGCAAACACTGATGAAGTTGCCCTGTAGTGCTGCCTTCATCTTTGCTCACAGCTCTCTTGCCACAAGGCCTTTCTGAAGGAGGCCTGTCTATGCTCGGAGCCTGTAGACACAGGAGGCCAAGGAGTCCCTTTGGACCCCAGACTGCTTGGCCGTGTAACCTCACCCTTGCCACTTGGTAGCTGTGTGACCTTGGGCATATTGCTCCACCTTTCTGAGTCTCACTTTTCATCTATTAAATGGGTCTTAGAATAGTACTTACCATATTATGAGGTTGTTGTCAGGCTCAAGTGCTAGGCACAGACCTCAGCATGCATGAGTACTGGATTTCATTTTAACTATCGGGGATTCCTACTGTTTGAGTGTGGGACAAATCAAGCCCTCATTCTTTGCATCTGAAAAAAAAAGGAGGCAGTAATTCCTGTCCTGCCTAATTCCGAGGAATGTTGTGAGTCTCTCTTGAAATAATGGAGAGGCTCCATGCCTATGTGACAGAGCGTCCCCGTCACCGGGGAAGAAAGGTCCCATCCTGCCTGGCTTGATGTTCTGAGTAAGTCTCAGCTTCCCATGTGAGCCAAGACACATTTATTTATCAATTTATTGGGGAGGGAGGAAGCTACAGCAGAAGGGACTAGAGTATCCCATCCTCAGCTTTATGGAAGTATTTTCCATTTATCAAGCTGCTGCCACATCCCGGGTGCTATATAGAGCATAGAAGTAGGTATGCTACCTTGCACTCAAATTCAGCAGCCAGCCAGCCATGCCCATGATGGCAGGGAAGATGCTGATGTTTGTGCAACAGCCACTGTCACAGGCCAGGCATTGCCAGTCAGTTGTAGTTACATAACCATTGTAAAAGTCTTAGGTTTTTATTTAAAAAACAGAAGCAAAACAACAAAACCTAGGTTTGCAGACAGGGAAATTGAGGCTCAGAAACATGGTGACTTGCCTAAGTCCAGGTAGGCAATAGTTATTGGCAACCCAGAACCTTCCCTCTGTCTCGGGCTACCACAGGTCAGGAGTGGCTGTCTCCTGGTGGGATGTGATGAATAGAGGTGGGGGCACAGGCAGGAGTCGGAAACCCAGGCTTGGCCATTCCCCTGGCTGGTGACCTTCCACTTCTTCCCTGGATAGACCTCTGTTTCCCAAGTATGAAATTCCCCAGAAATATATGTCTCAAACTGGCTTCTGGAGGCAGCTCTAGACATCATCGACTTTTAAAAAAATGTTACTGCTCTGGCCAGTGTGGCTCAGTTGGAGCATCAACCTACAGATCAAAAACTTGCAGGTTCTACTTCCGGTCAGGCAGGGCACATGCCCAGATTTTGCCTTCAACTCCCAGCTGGGGCACATATGAGAAGGCAACCAATCAATGTTTCTCTCTCACACCAATGTTGTTTTTTTGTCTCTATCCCTTCCTCTCTCTCTAGAAGGCAATGAAAAAAAATGTTCTTGAGTGAGAATAAAATATTTTTTAATTCAAAAATGTTATTTAATTTGAGTGCTTTTGTTTATTTTGTTGTTTATTTATTTATTTATTAGTCTATTTTTCCCATTATCATTCAGTCCCCCTATACTCTCCTCCTGCCTGCAATCACCACACTGTTGTCCGTGTCCATGAGTCCTTTTTCCTTTTTGCTCAATCCCTTTACCCCACCCTTGGCTGTCATCCTGCTCTCTATCTATGAGTCTGTCTCTATTTTGCTTCTTAGTTCAGTTTGTTCATTTGATTCCACATATCAGTGAAATCATATGGTATTTGCCTTTCTCTGACTGGTTTATTTCACTTAGCATAATGTTCTCCAGGTGCATCCATTCTGTCACAAAAGGTAAAATTTTCTTTTTTAATGGCTGAATCATATTGTAGAATCATAGTGTAGATGTCCCATAGTTGTTTTATCCACTTATCTACTGATGGATACTTGGGCTGCTTCCATATCTCAGCAATTGTAAACAATGCTTCAGTGAACACAGGGGTGTTTATGTTCTTTCAAATTAGTGTTTTGGGTTCCTTCAGCTACATTCCCAGAAGTGGAATCACTGGGTCAAAAGGCAGATCTATTTTTAATTTTTTGAGGTATCTCCATACTGCTTTCCACAGCGGCTACACCGATCTGCATTCCCACCAACAGTGCAAAAGGGTTCCCCTTTCTCCGCATCCTCACCAGCACTTGTTGTTTGTTGATTTGTTGCTGATAGCCATGCTGACAGGTGTGAGATGACATCTCATTGTGGTTTTAATTTGCATTTCCCTGATGATTAGTGACGTTGAGGATTGTTTCATGTCTATTGACCATCTGTATGTCATCTTTGGGGAAGTATCTATTCAGGGCCTTTGCCCATTTCTTAATTGGGTTGTTTGTTTTCTAGTGTTGGGTTTTATAAGTTCTTTATAAACTTTGGATATTAATCCTTTATTAGATGTATTGGCAAGTATGTTCTCCCATCCTGAGGATTGTCGAATGCCTTTACTTTTATTTATAATTTTATTTTTGGACAGGTAATGCATTTACATACTTCAAAATTCAAAAGGCACAAGAGTATGAGGTGCAGTACCCCCTTCCCTATCCCCGTCCTTCCTCCGCAGAGGCAGCGCTGCCGGAGATCACTCCTGTGTCCTCGCAGAGATCACACAGACACTCCTGTGTATGGTCCCCTCCCCATCCACCCCAGCCTGGCTTTTCTGCACAAATAGTAGCACATTCTCCTGCTCCTTACTTTCCTCACACAAAGTTGAAAAGCGTTGAGAGCGTATTCTTTGCCCATCAAGGGTCCTAATTCCATTTTTATGGCTGTAGAGACACGTGAAGGCTTTGGGACCTGGTTTGTCCGTCTAGGTTGATTGCCACAGGCCCTACTATGCCACATTGCCTCACTCCCCACCAGCCGCACACTGGTTTGCTACCTGTGTTGCCCTACTTGGGGTGGGAGGGTGACCCCGGGGTCGCTTACAGCTCTGACATCTTGTTTTTTTCCCTGATGCTGAAACCTGAAGCTTTCCCATGGTGCCCTGGTGACTCCATAGCCCCCGGGCACATGGTCAGTTTTGTAGGGTGGGTGAGTCCCCAGCTTTAGCTTCTGATCGCCTGCCCCATCTCCGTCTCTCTGTTTCAATAGTGGCCTTTGTCTCGGAGGATGACTTTCGTCACAGTTCCAACTCCACCTATAGAACCGCGAGCAGCTCTCTCCACACGGACCAGGAAGCGCTGCTTGCGAAGCTGCCGGACTGCCCCCCGCACCCCCTGCAGAGGCCCGAGGACCGCTTCAACAGGGCCTACATCATCTTCTTCAGCCTCGGCGTCGGCGGCCTTCTGCCGTGGAACTTCTTTGTCACTGCCAAGGAGTATTGGATATTCAAACTCTGCAACTGCTCCAGCCCAGCCCCAGGGGAGGAAAGTGAGGACTCAGACATCCTGGTAAGGGTGTGGTCCTCCTGGGAGGCGGGGGTGCACTCAGCCGGGATGGGGTGAAGGGCAGCTTCACTCAGGTGCACCATGCCAGGAAGGATTGTGGCATGCTGACGGTGTGCGAATTGGGAAGCCATGTGGAGTATAATAGAAACAATTCAATCCAGTCCTGAGACATGCTTTGTGCTGTGTATGAGGCCCCGTGCTTCATGTGGCAGGCAAGGACGGAAATGGATAAGACACAGTCCCGGCCTCCTGATTGCCTGCTGTTTACCTTGTGGAGAAGATGCAAACAGTGATTGACTGCAGTGTAGTGTGCTAACCCCAAGAATTCAGAGTCCGTGCCTTCAGGGGTTCGAAAGGGTGGATCCAATAGCATTAAGTTCAGCAGTTAGTTTAGAAAATTCCAAAAAGGAGTCAATAAATAGGACGGAAAATAATTTTTCTCTCATGTTCAGGTTCAGAGGGAGCAGCCCAAGTCTGGTGTAATGTTCCATGTTGTCAGGAACCTAACTTTCATCGTGTGTAGCTTCTAAGTTCAAGATCGCAGTCCAGGGGGGCTGTTGGAGCTCCAACCATGAAATCAAATAGGAAGAGGAGAGAGGCAAAAGAAAACTGGAAGTAACACACTTTGCTTTTGCTTGCATCACATTGGTCAGAACTCAGTCATGTGACCACATGAGATGCAAAGGAGGCCGGAAAATGTAGTCTTTGCCCCAGAGAACTCCATACCCAGCTAAAATGAGTGGTCGTATAGTTCTGGAGGACAGGAGGAAATGAAGACTCAGAGATAAGTAGTCTTGTCACTGTGTCTCCTGGTCACAGTGTCTCAGAGCCTGTCACTGTGAATCAGAGCAGGTGGATTAGAAGAATGGGGAGGAGTCATTCCAGGTGGAAGAAAAAGCTTGGGCAAACGCAGGAGCAAGTTCAGGTGTGTGTGGGGAATAGTAAAGCATCTAATATTGCTGTGGCTAAGGTGCATGCCAGAGAGAAATAAGGCTGAGATCATTGCCTGGGTCTTAAGTGGCAAAGTGAGGGGTCTCAATTCTGGTTGGTTGGCAGTGGCACCAAGCCCCGTCTCGCCACCTAGGGCTGCCCACTTTGTGGGAAGACTGTTCTCTTGGGCAGGTGGAATGTTGAAGAAAAAATTAGTCTGCCACCTGAGCCTTCACTCAAGACTGTTGCAACATGGGAGAGAGATCAGGCTCAACTCTAGTCACCCGAGGACAAGTGGGGATTTATAGCCAAGAAACACAGTGAGGGGGTGGTCAGTGGATGGAAAATTACTAAGAGGGGCCACCAAGGGTAGGGGGATTCTTGCTAAAAGCAGGCCAAGGCCAAATAAACCAAGGTCGACACAAGGTCAGGGGTGAGAAACTTGATCAAATATCAAGGGAGATCAGTTACCACAGTGGGGGCATTCTCAATAAACTGCCTTAGCAGTATTCTTGCTGAGACTGGCTGGGCATGCAGAGAACAGGACAGGAGCGGGCAGTGAGGGCAAAGTCGAGGCCTGGCAGGAAGAGGGCTTAGAGTTTTGGTTAATCTTTGTCAAGAGCCCGTTCCCTCAGTCGATCTAGGAGGGTGTCTGTTCTCCATTGAAAGCTCTTAGGTGGGGAATCAGGGACTCTCTGAAGGCATGCCAGGCTGGGGAGGTTGCTAGCTGCCCCTCTCCCCCGGGAGTACCCCAGGGGACAAGAAGAATATACCCTAGCAGACCTTAGTCATACCCCTCAACCAGCCCAGGAGGTGGCTCACCTCCCCTTTTTGAAAGCACCTTTGAAATTCCCGATCTGACCCACCAGGAACTTTCCCCAGTTTTGTAGGACTGAATCTGACATGTGGACTGAGATTTACTATCATCTTTGGAGGACTCTGCCAGGACTCCACATCAGAATCACCCAGGGAGTTTTTAAAAAATTCCAATCTGGGCTCCACCCCAGACATTAGGATTGAATGAGGTCCCTTGATTCTGACGCCTTGTAAGGGCCTGCTTCTGTTAACTGGGGAATTTGTGGCTGCCTCCAGGAGCCAGAGTAGTGCGATATCGACCCCATGTCTGCAGCTGCAGAGCTCTCGGGAACATGGTATAGTAGTTTAGAGCCTCCCACTCCAGGTGTGTTCCTTGGTGGAGGCTGGCCTGGAGCTCGTTAGTGAGGCAGAGTCTCAGGCCCCACCCCAGACGGGCTGAGTCAGGAGCTGCATACTGATAGGCCCCCCACGTGACTGACAGGCACAATAGAGTTGGAGATGCACTGTCGAGGGCGTGGCTTCTGGAAACAGACTGCGTGGGTTCTAGCTCGGTCTCTGCCAGTGCTGAGCTCTGTGGCCTCCCTGTGTTGCGTTTTCTTTCTGGTATGCACAGGAAGGTAAGGCTAGCAGCAGCTTCTTAGGGTTGTTGTGAGGACTAAGTAAATTACTCTGCACACAAAGCACTTGGAACTGGGGCAGGCACTAGAGCTGTAAGTGCTGTGTAAACATTATCATTATTATCATTTGGGGGCTGCAGCCCTGGAGTATTTCCAGATGCCTGGCTTACCCGGGTGCTTTATGCTCCACTTTTATTTACCAGTGACTCCAGCAGTGTAGCTTTCTGCTGGCCTTGGTAAATCACTCAGCCCACTTGGGCTTCTTCTAGAGGAAGGCCCCTGTCTGTCTGGGCCAGCACTAGCCTAGGCTGGCCCCCAGGACCAGATTACACGTGCACCTGCCCTGTCCCCCCACCATTGCCCCAACCCAGCTCCTGGGAGCAGGCTGCCGGGGCAGAGGAGGATGTACCGACAGGCCTCTGGGAGCCGGTCTGACCCTTGAACAGCAGACGTCCCCTGCACAGTAGACGTCTGCCGTGAGCCGTTCTCGCTGCAAGGCGATCCCTTCGCAGCTGCAGGCACTTAGCATTCCAGGCCCTGCTACGATGCTTTATTGCCTCTTCCAAGTGCTGGCAGGTGCAGATGTAGTACCTGTGGTGCCCGGAGCTCCTGGCTCTTGGCATCAGAGATGAGAGACCTGTCACCCCTCGATTCATGGGCCGGCTTTGGGAAGCAAGCATGCTGGGGCGTTTCTGCATTTTGCGGGCCATTTTTCTTTGCCTAATTCCCCATTCCTGCAACCCATCTCCCCAATTCTTTCCTCCTGTCTTCCTCATCTCCCTGCGAGAAGCGGCTGGTTTGCTTTGTCACCTGAGGGCCACTCTAGGGGAAGAAGGGGGAGAGTCAGATGGATCTGTTTCCAGCTGCCACCTGCAACTCAGTTAGCTGCGGGTCTGGATGTTGTTTTTTGCTGCACTTTCCTTTTAATATTGCCCAGGGATGGATACCATTGGCTGGCGGGTTCAACTCAGTAGAATGTTTGCACAGGCTGCCTCCCCCCAAATTATGTCACTGGAAGGTCACCTGCCATCCCAGTCTCATTTCCTTCTGCCCAGACAGTTTGGGGGTGGTGTAGGAAGCATCTGCTTCACCTGGCCCTTTGTCTCTGCTCTCTGGAGCAAGAACTTTGAATGAACCCACCACAGCCCGTGGATCCAGAGCCAAAGAGATTAGAACATAAACAAGGAAGAGCTGGCGTGAGAAAATGGTGCGGGACAGCCGGGACAGCCTCCTCTTCCGAGGCCCACCCTGTGCCCACCGTGCTGGCAGGGGTGTTAAACACATTGTCTCTAATTAGCCCTGCGTTTTTCAGACAACAGCCAGAGCTCAGAGAGGTTCAGTAGCCTGCCCCAGTCACGTAGCAGGAAGGGCTGCAGAGGACTTAACGGAGAAGTCAGGCAGAGAGATGATTGCAGAACTGGTCGTGCCCGGAGAGCGGTGTAGAGGGGTCACTCATGTCCTGACCCTGCAAGCGCTCTGTCTTCATATGGAGAGCCTGCCCTTGACCTGCAGTTCTGTACCACCCAGACGGGGGCCTTGGCTCTGCCCCTGCATTCTGGACCCAGCTTCCAAGCTGTCAGCATCCCTGATGCCTCCCCACCGCACCCACGGGTTTGTAAGGCATCGCTGGTCCTGGGATCTGTTTGCCCTCCCCACAGCCTCTCCTATAGGCCTGTACAGGTAGGCTGCCCCTGGGCCAGGACTGTAACCTGGGGTGCCTCCTTTCTGCCCCACAGAGCTGAGTGATTGAACCTTCTGCTGGTCATTCCCTGCCTCGAGGCTTCCGTGGCCCCTCCCAACACGTTTTTCCTGTGCACCTGGGCCTGCCCAGGGCTTCTCTCTGAGGGGCCTGCGGGACGTGGCCAGGTCATGGGTGGGACCCACAGTCCCACTTGGTGTCAGCAGGGCCAGAACCCAGGCTTGGCCATCTACTGCTGTCCCATCCATCCTTTGGCCAGAGGGGGCTCCAACAGCCAAGTCCCAGGGCAGGGGGCAGATAGATGCCTCTCTCACCCCCGGAACCTCCACTGCTGCTACCTACTGAATTTGGGGCTCCGTTCTGGATCCCCAGATCCTACTGCATACACTTTCCCACTAGGTTCTCACCATACAACTCACAGTACTGAGCGCTTTCTGTTCTCAGAGCTGGGCCCACAGTATCTCATTTAACCCCACCACACCCCCGTGAGGCAGAGCTGTTGCTGTCAGTGATGACAGTACCTGTCACAGATGAGGACACCTCCTCCACTAAACTGTTAGCTCTTCCGAGATCACTGTGCATCCCTGTGCCTGCAGAACAGCTAGCATAGTGCATGGCACACAGCAGCACACGATAAATATTTGTTGCATTAGTTATTGTATGGCTGGGGAGGAGAGCCCCATCATCCCAACCCAAAATAAGGATGACATGGCTCTACAAAGGGGCAGAAGAAGATCTGAGGGTCACAGTGGCCACCCCAAAGACATTTTGCTCTTTCCCGTGGGTTGGCATAGACATGAAGTGGGATTCCTACAATAGGGAAGGGACCCAGGTTGGCCTGGTGCAGCAGGTGGGGACCTACCCTCATATACAGCATCTTGGTCCTGGCCCAACCCCTCAGCACCCACCCCCCACCAAAGATGCAGGATAGCATGACTAGG